AAAATAATAAGTTATGTATTGAAAATCAAAGTAATAGCAAAATAGTACTATTTCGTAATGGAGAAACTTGGAAAATCGCTTACTCTAACAGATGCCGAAATTACTTGATTAAATTTGTTAATGGATAATTATTTAATTTAAAAAAAGGAGCAATGTTCTGGAAAGCAAAATTAATGGATAAGAGATACCTACTCTGTAAGGGGATCCGAAAAAAATAGCTATATAAATATTGACTTTAATGACGCTTAATTTATTTTGGTAATACGTACAAATTTATAAATAGAGCTGCGTTTAAGAAAGAAAACATGTTGGATGTGGTACTCACTTGTTTAAGAGAAACGTAAAAAATAAAACTCATTTAGTCACCAATGGTGCTTAATTAATTTTGGTATAAAGTACTAATTGAAATGAAAATAAATTCTATGTTCTGAAAAGCAAAATTAATAGAAAATGGTACAAATTATTTATGAAAAACGCCAAATTATTTTTGACATTATTGATGCGTAATTAATTTTGGTAATACTTACTAATTGCAATTAAAAAAAGCTATTTTATAAGACATCTATTCTGTCTGTAAAAACAAGTTCTTTATTATTTATAAAATAGTTTTAAATTGTTTGCTCAATAACTTGATTAAAAGAACAACAAAGTATGAAAAGAATTTGCAAGCAAAAAGTAAGATTGACATAAGTTTCTTCTTTAGAAAAAAAAAACATATTTAAGACCATGCATACTTCAAACAATAAAACAATTTATTTTCTGAAATCTTTGAAATGAAGTAAATTTTCCAAAGATAAGCTATTTAAAGAAACTTAACAATAGTTTGAGATGAATAAAATTTATTTTTTAATTCATGCAACTAAAGGCAATTTGTGGTTATTTCTTTATATGCGTTTCAATGAAATATAAGTTGTTATCATTATATCCTGTCAAAAAATATAAAATTGTTTTTAAATTTACAATTTTCTTACAATTTAAATAAAATAATTAATACTATAAAAATAGTTTCATGTAAAATTTAGTTAAATATTCATTAGTCTTCAATTTTATATTGTCATGAAACCTCCATATATATGTTTCGCACTATTTTTAAAAATATAGTAAGTATTGACAATCAAATACTTAATTGTTTGCAAGCAAAAATGAACATGTTCAAATTGTTCAGAAATGAACATGTTGAAATTTAATGCGAATGTTACATGACATTTTATTGATTATTCATTCACATCTGATAAACACGTGTGAATCTATACTCAGGAATATACATATAGGTCTTGCGAATCTATATAACCAAGAACATTAAAGATATTATACAGTCCAATATTTTTAAAAATGGTCATCTATTACCTTTTGAGACTATTTCACGTCAAAAATCTCTATAATTAAAACGGAATGTTTGCGTGTATGTTTGCGTGTATGTATGCACCTTATAAAAATCCGCACTTCTGAACTGAACCATACCAAATTTGGTGCAAATACGTTCAAAAACATGGCTGACCGAGCTGTTGACTTTAAAACTTCCCATAACAAATGGCTCACTGACAACATTCCAAACAAGTTTTACATAAGATTTATTGAAAAGTATTTTATAATCGAAGCGAATTCCACACCCGGCTCGCACCGACGTAAAATATCCTCAGTGGTAGTCGTATCGGATCATGGGTTAGAGTCCTTTTGCCGTTAGGCAAACCGTGAAAAGTTCTCATGATTTTTCTCTCCATGAAACTCAAATCTTGTGGATTGGGTTCAAAATTACAATGCTGTGGAGTTGAACATTGGTAATCATAAACTCAAAATTGAGTCGGATGTTCAACAGTGGTTATAAAATAAAAAAATAAAAATTATATAAACGTAATTTCTAGCTCACAGCTCTAATTAAATAAAAAATAGTTTTCTCAGACGAGGCCTTTTACAATTTCCTTTACAGGATAAGTACTATAAATTAAATGCTTTATTTTGGAAAATATTGGCTATAAAGACTTTTGGCTTCCAGCAGCAGTATAGTGGCAAATGTTACTGAATATAGTTAATCATATTAATGGGATGAACTACTAAGAAAGTGTTTTGCTTAATTTATTAAATAGGCAATAAATAAAAAAAAATTATTAATAAAGATAAATATTATAATTGTTTTAGCTTCATTAATTGTATCTGTATAGATCTTTCAGTTTCGTGTATGATTCCGTAGTGTTTTTTAATGCTAATTTATTGATTTTTTTTCCACCCTGTACGTAGGACTGGTATTCAACTAGTTCCCATTCTAAAGATATTTGCCTATAATCAAGTCCCTTTCTTCTTTGAAGGGCCTATTAATTGAGCTATGTTTTTTTTCCAAGCCGCTAGGCGGCTTTATTAATCTTAACCCCTGTTGAAGTTCTATAGTTTTGACATGGGCTCTCTGTTATAAACTGATGATTTTTTTTTCATTATGTCAGCGAAAATAACCAACTGATTTCGAAAACTTCAGTGCAAATTATTTAATGCTAGCTGAACATGTTCTTCGTTCGGGACGAAAAAAGGTATCAATAAATCAGTACTGAACAAGGCAACAAAATCTTGCACAAAATTTTCAAACCAATACTGACACAAATAATACAATTAAAATGATTCCAATATTTTTTTATTTATTTTAATTTGTTGCCCTTCTGGGGTTGCTTTACATTATTAGATTAAGCAAAGCACAAATTTAGCAGCTTATCCCACCAAAATAAAGACTAACTGTATTCAGTGTCATTTGGAATAATGCTGTTGTTCAAGACAACTCAGACCATATATCATAAAAATGTACAGTATTGGTGCAACTATAATGGAGACCAAATTTACTCTAAAATAAGTTGTACCTACATAAGAGTATGTCTGGAACTTATTAAAACCACCTCCATTTTTATAATGCAGTGCCCATAAACAAAATTATGCATCATTGCATGGTGTCAATGATAGCAAGACGACATTTTACGGTACCCCGTAACGAATTATTTCCATTTCTCTATTAATTTTTCTTTCCTTTACGAAACATTTTTTTTATTTCAATTATACTGATGAATTTAAATTGTTTAGTTTCATGAAAAACATATTTTAAAAGTATAACGAAAATAAACACGATGGTTTCAAATAACCTAGGAAATAATTTGGTGACGTCATTTTCTTGCGTTAGCACGATCACGGTGATCATTCAGATAATCTTGTGTGACAGATAAAATATAACTAAGCATAATAGAACACGCAAATGACATCTTTTTTGATTGAAAATAAAACAACAAAGATATAAATATATAATAAACATTACTGATGTTATCTTTAAAATATTTAATTAAGAAAAAATCTGAATCGTCTATGTCATAGTTTAAAACACTGGCCTCCGCGAAGTTGATGAGAAAATTCCGTTTTTTAAATGTCTCTGAATTTGAAATATATTTAAAAAATCAAAAAAAATTTGTTTACAGTTTTACTCATTTAGTTTCATTTTGAATCTCGCTTGAATTCTTAGAACTTACTGTATATCCGCAATCTGGTATGCACACAAACAGACGGATATACACGGAAGTTTTTTATTTTATTGTATCTATGGATTATTCGTAGCCCTTCTCGATAGATTTACGCTATATTAGATTAATTAAAACTCATTTTTAGCTATTTATCTCATCAAAATAAAGGCTAACTGCATTATTCAGTATTATCTGGCATAGTGCTGTTGCTCAAGGCAACTGAGGGCATTTAGAATTTACCACAATCAAGCTACTTTCTAATGTAGTTATATTTTCGAGCAGCTGTAAGAAATCTATCTTAAGAATGCACAATATTGGGGCAGTATTAATTGGCACTAAATTTACTCTAAAATACGTTGTACCTTCAATAATATCATGGCGACTTTTTACCGCATCCCGTAAAAAATAAGTACATTTTTTACTACATAAATTTAGCTTCTTAATAGATAGCTTATTTTTTTTATTTCAATTATTACCTGTTACCAAAAATAATCAAGCATCTTTGACATCAGTATTAGTTTGTCAATTTTTAATGTTCTCTTAAATGAATTAGTAGAATTTTTCGACTGGTTTTCTTTTTGGTACATGGCATTTCTTTCTATTACTACAAATGGTAACTATTACCAAAATTAAATATCATTGACCTCAACAGAAATATTGGTGCTTTATTACTTTTGCTTTGTCAAATTAGTACTATTTTTTATTTTCAATTCAAAACTTTCTTTTAATTTCAATTACCGTTGGTTTAAAATTATTTAATTTTATAAATACCCGTAGATGAGTGAAGCTAGAAAGTGCAGAGCCTCTAGTTGTAAATAGCAACATATTGTTTAGTATGAATAATAAAGCATTGTTGTGTGAAATGAATTTTAAATAAAAAGAATTTTTTTTGCATTGTTTGATGCATGTAACTATTATATTGAATAGTAATACTAATGAATCTTTTTAAGCAATAACAATGCATTGTTAGATATAGATAATGATGTATGTTATTTGATATATTAAGTAACAATGCGTTATTTCATACAGTAAATAACATATTGTTAAGGTAATATCTAACAATATATTGTTTGATATATCTATTATGAAATGTTCAATAAGTTGAATTGTAATGGATAGTTCGCCTAAATGGAGATCACTCTCTCTGCCTTTACCCCCAAAACACAAACAGAGCCCTATTTCAACATTTAGAAGATACTCTTCAGTAGAGGTAAAGACTTTGGACACAAAAAAGCCCTGTTACCCTGTTACTTTTCTGTAATTTCTAAGTGGATAGATTTTAAAAAAATTATTAAAATTCTTTACCCTAAACTGTTTTGCACGACCTTTTATTTAATCAATCATCATAGTATTGTTAAAATTTAAATCACCACTATTCCAGAGACCCATTTTTTCATTTGCGGTAACTATGGAGATAATTACTTAAGAAATAATCTATTAAAGAAACAGAAACTGTCATAAAGACAGACATGTAACGTAAATTTAGATTTCAATGACACGGAAATAAATTCTTACGGCATCCATCTTCATCTGACCCATCCTGGCAATCTACGCTTCCGTCACATGTCCAATCCATTATGATGCAACCACCGTCATTGCAGCGGAACTCATTTGAAGCACAAGACTGAGCAGCTGAAAAAAGAATGGACACTTAGCTATAAATGAACTTCATCGAATAAACCTTAAATTAATACATGAAGCTAGGAAACATTATTCCAACAGTAGACGTCTCAACTCTTCTTGCAATTCCTATTATCTCTTCTCAGTGTGGTATTGCGAATATTGGCCAATCTAAAACGTACCCTAAAACTTTCGCTTAAAAACATGAAAGATCTGATCAAACTAAACTTACCCAAGTCAAAATTCTTGATTGTTCCATCAAAAAAAATTGATGGTTTATATTGGTTTCAATGCGATTCAGTGTGGTATTGCGAATATTGGCCAATCTAAAACGTACCCTAAAACTTCCACTTAAAAACATGAAAGTTCTGATCAAATAAAACTTACCCAAGTCAAAATTCTTGATGGTTCCATCAAAAAAATTTGATGGTTTATATTGGTTTCAATGCGATTCAGTGTGGTATTGCGAATATTGGCCAATCTAAAACGTACCTTAAAACTTCCACTTAAAAACATGAAAGATCTGATCAAACTAAACTTACCCAAGTCAAAATTCTTAATGGTCCCATCAAAAAAATTTTATGGTTTATATTGGTTTCAATGCGATTCATGATGGTCCAACATCATTTGATGGTCCCCATCATCCAACATTTTACATTCTGTGCACATGGTGCGTGATATGCCATCAAACTATTCTTATGTTGGACAATCGTAAATCTGTCCGAATTCCTACATTAGGGTGATGGTTACTTATGTTGGTTACCATCCAAAAATATAACGGTTCATAATGGAATTATTGATGGCTACCATCAAGATTATGTTGGTCCATCAATGTAAAACCATCAAAAATTTTGACTAGGGTAAGGATGTTCCATCCCCTTACACTTATCATAGTTTTGTCTTGAGTTTTTATGCCTTAATTATTCAACAATTCTTCGCAACTAATGATTTAACTACTAACTACTAAATTTTTGGAAATCATTTATATTTAAAAAAAAATCTAAATTAAATTAAAGACCTGTTGAGTATCACAAATTGATCGAATGTTTGGACGATATTTTTTTATTCCCTACATACCACACCTAAGTTTCTCTTTCAGCCCCAACCGGAATTTTTTCTTAGCTCCGGTTTTTCGTTCATTTAACTCTCTCTAATTTATTGGTCTACATCGATTTTCCTTGTTGTAACTTGTCTGTAATTTTTTTTCTGTATCTCTATGTTTCCCTCTTTCATTCTTTGTTTCAGAGCTGAATCACCTAATTCATTATAGAACCATAACTATAATAAGGCATTGATAACATAGTTTTCACCTTTGCTCTCGTTGTTTGGCTTCATTCATCTAACGGTTACACCAATTTTTATGATAAAATTTCATCCTAAGTTGAAATATCATATGTTGTAGGACGTATATGACGATTGTAAATATATTAATTACAATTTTTAATTAATTGTATATGATTATAATGACTTTTCTCATATGAAAAAAAAATCATTTACGCAGATTCTGGTATGGGTCAGGTTCAAATTAAAGAGTATATAAAATAGGTGTAAAGAAAGTTCTTTATCAATTTCTAAATTTTTACTAGGTTTCGGGAAAACTTTCTAAATTGTAAAATCTATTATGCACTGTACAGAAAATGAAAATACTGTAGTTCACGTACAATAATGCGAACTTTATAAATCAAAAGGAAAAATTTAAGTATAATAATTAACGGAATTATTCAATATGTTGTATTTTTATAAATAAACAAACGCATTTTTGACAAATTTTGGCACCTTAAAATGGGGTACCCACAACTGGTAAATAATGTCACATTAGTTTATTCAGGGTCATGCAAGTGATTCATATTAAATTCGTTCAGCTACTTCTACCTTTTGCGCAACATAAATATTTTACCCTTTGTTCAATTGACCATGCATATTTAAACCTATATTTGTGATCAAAACAATTTTACGCATTTTGCTTGTAAGTATAATGCATAATTTACAAGTAATTGTATTTTTTTTACCACTTAATTTTAAAATTTTCCGAAAATATATAAATAGTAAGGCACACACATTTTTACACGATTAATAAATTATATAATTTTAAATAACAAATGCAATACTTTTACAAAGATTGTCCTATAGTTCTTAAAAAAAGAAGGTTAAAATATATAGCGAGTATATTTTAAAATTCCATTACTTAGAAACTATTCAGTAATTTTCATTTTTCTAATTGAAATTACTGATTATGAAATGAAGTAAAAATTTTTATACCTTTCATTTTAAGGTTTCATTAAACTTTGAAAATAATCTTAAAAATGTTATTTTGTATAAAATTACCTTTAGTCGATAGCTGTTTCACTGGTTTCTTAGTTTGAGGTCACTAAAACTATTGCTACAAAAGTCTCTAAATCTCAGGATTTCTTAAAAAAAATTTATTAGTTAAAAAAAATATACCTGACAAAAGTCGCAAGTATCTTAAGTTTGGGTTTTAGTAACAAGGAATGAATTGTATAAAGTAGTTAGTATGAAATAACTTGAGAATTTTAGATCAAATTATTTCAATTGTGCAAACCTTGAAATCGCGTACAATTGGAATAGCTAAATAGTGCGAAGCGCTCAGTATAAAATGGAGTACAGTATTATGAAAACTTGATACCAGCTATTTAGATTTTTATATTTGATGATATTTAAGAAGTATTCTGACAACTTCAACATTTTTATTTAACTCTGCTTCTACGTACTGCAATTATTTTTCCAAGAAAAGCAAATAAATAAATAAAATTGTTAGAGATATACATTTACTCCAGCTATTAAAACTCTTCCATCATCTTCCAAACAACTATTAGCTTTTTCTAAGCATTTCTATGTTGGAACTAAACATAGAAAAGCCTTGAAAATACTGCATATTATTCGACCAGGAACAAAAATTACGATTTTGTTATGATGAAATAAAACTCAACACAATTATAGCGGAGACCTGCCTTATTTATTTCCGAAAAACAAGACCCTCATTCCGAAAATTGTTTGGAAGGGTAAGAAATTGGCGATATAATATCTCTAGATCCATCAATGGGGAAATATTAAAAAATAATATAAGCAAAAGACTAAACACAAACATGAAATATCTCTCAGAATTCCAGAGCTTAAACAGAAGAAAAGCCCATATCTTCTAGGAAAACCGAAAGAACCATTTCGCTTAGGTCATAAGGGACTTTTTTCGCTTACGTAGGATATTCAATATCATCTTTCTTATGGAAGGATTAGTCCAGTTGCTGCGATTTTCATGAGTTCTTTTATAGCTAATATTATAAAAGAAAATAGGACAAGAGAGATAAAAAGAGGTGAAATGGTAAAGAGCACGAAACAATGGTGCCTGATGGTTTAGTGCTTCTCATAAAACAACCATTACAAATACCTTAAGTCCACTAAACTACTACCGAAATATTTGTAATTTTTTTTTTGTCTTAAGAACATGTCATACTATACAGCCGAAATATTTATTCTTCTATAACTCAACACTACACTATGAGAAATTTTGCAACGTGCAAAAATTATAACATGGCTGCTACCTAAATATAGTCCTAAGTTAAACCATAATATCAAGCTTATTAAATTAATTTAAATTATGTAGCCTTTCAAGCCGTAATATAATTCCAATTTGATGCAGCCTAAGTATGTCATTTTATTATATTGATTGAAGAGAGATTCGATAATATTGCTAAAAAAATAAGACAACGGAAATAAAAAGAGGTGAAATGGTAAAGAGCACAAAACAACGGTGCCTGATGGTTTAGTGATTCTCATAAGACAACCATTACAAATACCTAAAGTCTACTAAATAACTACCAAAATACTTGTAATTTGGGCTTTTTTGGGGTATTTTAAGATCTTGTATAACTTATTGTCAAAGTATTTATTCTTCGATGAAATAGTTAACTAAATAACTCACCGTGGGAAATTTTACAACGTGCAAAACTGTAACATGGCTGCTTACTTAATATAAGTCTAGGCAAAATCATAAAACTCATTAAATTAATTTAAATTCTGTAGCGTTTCAAGCCATAATATCATTCAAATTTAATGCAACCTTAATATATCATTTTACTATATTGATTGAGCAGATATTTGATAATACTACTAAATAAAATAAGGCAACAGAGATAAAAAGAGGTGAAATGGTAAAGAGCACAAAACAATGGTGCCTGATGGTTTAGTGCAGGGATGGGCAAACTTTTCTGGTCGAGGGCCAAAAATCGAAGAAAAAAAATTTTGGTGGGCTAAATAAAAACATCTAAAATAAAAAAAAATACTATATGCAATTTTCAATGTAAATATTTAATGAGATGAATGAAATTGCGATTTCATTTTTAAAAGTTCCTTATATAAAGGTTCCAAGTGAGATGTACTTATTTTAAGGAACAAGGGTAAACTACTTCTAGGTAACTACTTCTGAAATGATTTTTTTCTCAGGTTTGTAGATGAAAACACTTGTTCACACATAAATAAGAGGAAGCAAACATAGACCTGATTTTCTAGGCATGAAATATTTGGGAAACTAGCTTTTGGTAATGATTTGTAAAACTCAATTTTTGGCATAATCAGAAACAATTGCTTCAGATTGCACCAACTACGGCTATTCTATAAAGAACTTCTGCTCATTTCACCAATTGAAGCTGTCTGTGCTAGCCTCCATCAATTTATTATTTTGTAGAACAAAAATAGAGAAAGTTAAAAGGTCCGCAGTACTTAGTTAAAAAAGAAAGAAAAATAACTTTAAACGAAGTAGACAAGAAAATGGATGTATATTGTTTATATTCGCCACAGATCAGCAAGTTAAAATTCCATCCGCGGGCCGGATAAAACCTTCCGGCGGGCCACAGTTGGCCCGCGGGCCGTAGTTTCCCCATCCCTGGTTTAGTGTTTCTAATTAAACAACTATTACAAATTTCTTAACACCATTATACGACTTCTGAAATCATTGTAATTTTTATTTATAATGTGTGCTGGTCTGGTTAATTTAAGAG